TAATAATAATAATTATTATTATTATTACTGTACAGTGAGCTCATTATTTTGGCCTTGTTTCAAACAACTTTCTTCAGCATCTTTGAAAACTTAGATCCATAATTATGTACACAAACATCTAAATAATTTGTGTAAGTTTTAATTTAGCTTATATAGCGAACTGTATTAAAATGTTAGTCAAGCCAGCCTGACACATTTTCATAAGAGCAACTAATATCAAAACATGTGTGTGCAGTATGTTTTACAGATGGACATAAAATTAAAAAAAATGCAATCTTACCTGGATGAGCTTGTCTCATGTGGTAAGTCACTGGATATGGATGGGATTCTCCACACAACTCACAGATGGTGTCTTTTTCAGGTCCTCCCACTGCAAGCTGGGCCATCTCACCAAAAAGATTTCCCCTTGGCCTAGTCTCAACCTTTTCTTTTTTCTTTTTCTCTTTTTTGGTTCTCTTATTATCTTTGTCACTTTCCTTCTTCTTTAACACTGCACAAGAACCAGGACTTGGAAAAATCATGTTTTGGGAAGCTGCTTTAATAGTTGCTAAAGAAATATCTTCCCAGAAAGCTACCAAGTGCTGCAGTGTTAATGGAAGAGGAGACCTGGATTTCATTGTGTGATGACTGGATGTTTCAAAGGAGGTAGTTTCAGTTTTTCCATCCTCACACTTTTCATGCAGGGGTGGTTCTTTTAACATTGAGAGGACTTTGTTTTTATTGATGCTACCCATTTTAGATATATCTGGTCCATGAGGTGAGATGTTGAACATGTTAAGAGCAGATGATATTTCCAATGAATGTCTGTTTTTCAGCTTGGTTTCTTTTTCCTCTGCAGGCTGTTGAGTAAGACTGCTTCGTATTGGTGCATGCTCTTTGGAGAGTTCTGGGTTAAACTTCAAAAAAGATGAACAAGCCATAGCATCATGAACTATTCCTTCATGCCAAAGGAATGCAGCAAATACAGCTCTAGCACATTCTGCTACAGAAGGTGACATTGCTTGCTTGGCAGGCTCTGCAGGCTTGGAGCCATCTCCTTTGAAAAGAAAGCTGGATTTTTCCTTTTTGGGTCTTGTGTGCCTACCAGCACATTTACGGCTCACTTTTGGAGATGCCCTCATGTCTTGCTCATCTTTCAGTGGTGCTTTTCCTATGCTGAAATGAACTTTATTAGAACCATCATCCAGACTTCTGAATTCTGTATTGTCTTCACAGGTGCTATCTATAATGGTGTTAGTCTTTAAAGCACTTGAAGTACATACTTCAACTACCTCGCTGTGAAGATTTTCTTGTACAACATGAGGGGAGGGAGCTCTATTTTCAGTTTCTGTAACAGGTTTTCCATCTTTTGCAACAGTTTTTGGTTTGGGTGAAGTGGACCTCCCTCTTATGGGTTCTGTTAGTGGTACTTTCTTTTTGCGAAGGGTGTCTGGATCTAATGTGTAAGAATCTGATTTGGAGCGTTCTCGAGGAGGATCAAGCTTTGTTTTTACAGGAGATGGAGCTTTCTGAAGTAGAGTTTTGTCATGGGGTGATGAGGATCGTGGAGAACTAGCACCAGATCTAACGGCTGTAAGTGTCTTTGTCTTTGGAGAAGACGAGCGGGTTCCTGGCCCTGGAGATTCAGCTCTCAGACCAGTAGTTGTTCTTCCATCAGTTTTTAGTGTTTGCAAAGTGTTATGATTTGGAGACAAAGACCTGCTGTGAGAGTCTGATCGCAATTTTGCAGCATCTGATTTCAGCAGAAGAGACTCACTGGCAGATAAGCCTTCTGTATTCCTAGGTTTTTTCTGGTCAGCAGCAGCTCTATTCATTCGCACATCAAGCTTGGGTGACCTGCTGTCAGCTCTGTGTTTTGATGACATATCCACTTTTCCTGCTGGAGAAATTGGTCTAGCAGCTCCTGTGAAATTCATTCGGTCACCTGTTTAGTATATTTTAAAATTAAATTATTATATTTTGACAGTGACTCCTTTAATAATACAAAACAAGGACTAAGACCTGAACACAAGATCAAAAACGTGCTTCTGTTCACACAGAAATGAAATATAAAGGGATTTTTTCCCCCTAGAATATTTTCAATACATTTCGTTTCCCAGAGATAAATACAAAGAAGTGTTAGGACACATTTAAAGAGAAAACACTACCATCAAAAGGCACAGTTCACTATTTCCACAAAATACTAGTAAAAGAAGCACAGTTTACATCCTTAGGTGAAATGCCAGGAGTTAACTAAGTTTACCACAGTTGCAACAGAAACCATAGATTATTTATTGTCTCTATGTGTCTCACCCTGATTGCAACAAGAGACTTGCAGAAAGATCGAATGTATTACCTGATTTATTTTCTTTAATGCTCCAAATTCCGGAAATGTAGGAAGCAAATACAGCAATAAGGCAAATTGGGTAAGAGGCTTACAAACATGCTTAAACCAATTCACATTGATGACCTGAGGCATCCACCTTCTTAAGACCACAGACTATCAACGTTCTGCTACCAAAGCACAACACACTAAAAAACCCCCTACTTTTTCCAGCCACTAAGATAAACCATCAGCTCCGCTCTATGATGTCCTCTTATGTTGATGCGGTAATTTATCGTTCATATGCACATTGACTTTGTACATGTATTAATCTACAGAACTACAAAAACTATGGGTAGCTTAATACAAAGACATACAAAACAAGTATATGCAAATAAGTAGCTTATTAAAGCAATCTGCTTCTATTAACTCTGTGAACACACACACAGTCTCTCTTGTAGAATTGTATTTTGAAAATTAAGACAAGCAATGTTGAAACTACTGGCAAGCAATGCAGCAGCTGTGAATTAAATATAACTGTCTCTCCACAAAGCATTACACTGCGAAGTCTTGAAAGTATAGTTAAGTCCTTCTGATTTGAATGGGTTTTCATTAGTTAAAAACAAAGACGCTTCTCTAGTAAAGCTTGTACAAATAGGTCACAGTACTTTGTATTACTTTACTTTTCTAGACACCAAAGGGTTATTTCCACTCATCTGGGCACATTTTCGGGGAAACAACTATTTGTTAAAAAAAAAAAATAAAGCTTCAATTAATCAGAGAATATTTGAAAATTTTGGATCTTGATTTCTAATGGGAACGGAGAGGATATGCAGTCTTCTTTTATTCAGTACCTTCAGTATTTCTTAGAAGGTGGGAAATCTGTGTTTCCTTCCTTCTGCGTTATGGGATCTATACCAACTTCTTCCAGTTCTCACTCATGAAGCCTTATCCCTATGCTAGAAAATACACAGAAGTATGGAGCGATCTCATATATACAAATGTATTTTTTTAGAGCAAAGTCTAGCAACTCAGATGTTTCCTCAGGTTACAAAACAATTGTTACTATTTTGCGACCTCCACATTTAAGTAGCTTATAATAAAACAAACAGCAATAGGAAAAAGTGAAGGATATTGACACAGGAATATGTGACAAGCTTGAAGGTTAGGGTCCTCTCCTGGTTTCCCAGAACACATGACATGGTAGGAGTTCATACTTCTCCAGACAGAAAAGAAATATTTTGTCTATATTCAGGAACAATATGTCAAATAAACAGTAAAAAATAATGAGAACATTTCAAACATCATCATAATCAACTTTGAGAGTCTAATCTGTCCTTATTATTTTTTTCTGATGAGTTCTATAAGGGGTTTTTTTGGGGAGAGAGGGAGAAGGAAGAGGAAGGAATAGCAGGGTACATCATGGTTTATAAAAAGACTGTTCCTGCCAAAAGAAAAAAATAAAAAGCTTCTTAAATATTAGTACAAGCATTTTGTTCATGCCAGCTCAGTTATTCACCAGTTCTACTGAAGAGCTATTTTGAGTTGTCTGCTTTGTGATATCTGAATTCAGAAATCTAAATTATAATTACTTTATACATACTTTTCCCAGACAAATAAATAAACAATTCACAAACAAAAAGATGAATTTAAGGTCTGCCAGATGAGAAAATAATCTAGATAGAACCTTTTACAGAATTCCTTATTAAAGAAAAAATAGTGAAAAGATGACAGTAGTCTTCTTAGAGGATATACAACACCGCAAGCTACTCAGCAATGTATCAAATTCAAAGTACGCATGCATGACTAGTGAAAATGCCAAGCAGGAAAACATTCTAGAACAAAACTGCTTATGAAAGGCATAGTGCAACAGTAGCTTCCAGCAATACAAAATATCTTATGTTTTTTTAAAACAAAGGTTTGGATTTGCACATATACAGGTAAATAATCCTAATTAGTATTCTAGACTATTAGGACAAAAAAAAAAAAATCACAAAAATGAAAAACTGCATAATCACATTGCAAACTGCTTTATCTGTAAAAAAAACCCCCAAAACCCCCATATATTTTTTCCCCTTTCTTGTTCCATATTTCATTTGCCTACTGTTTGAAAACAGGAGATTAGATTAACAGTCAATTTTCTGTTTAAAAAAACAGAAAGAGAGCTAGATTAGGTATCATGAAGTTGCTGCAACTCAGGAAGGCAACACTGAATTAAACAAAATCCCAACAAATACCAAACGTGAACGTTTACTTTCAGAACATTATTTTATCAAGTGAATGAAATGAAAATGAATGGAAGGAATAAAAAAACCACATTTTGAATGTAAAAATCTGAATAACCTTGCTATGTTGGCATGCATACCCACCATTCAGTTTGTGAGAGAGAGATGAAATAGCAGAGGCAGGCACAGCTACATCATTAGTTTTGTAAATACGCTCACGAGAAGCAAGGCAGCAGGATGGAGTTTCTACAGTGGAAAACAGTCGCACAGAAGCAGCACAGATTCAATGGAAAAAGCAATAAAGATAAAAACAAGCATTTGAAATGATACACATATCCTTTGTTTAGTATTCTGAATTAATTGTTTAGAGTCCTATATTAATTTTAAATGAGAAAGTTACTTCAAAATGTTTTCCCTCATCTAAATTTTAAAAGAACAAAAGATCTTCTGTGATTTCAGTATTAGTTTCTAGGATCTAAAAATGTAATACGTGTAGACTACCCTATGAGATTTATGTTTTATTATAAAAAACAGCAGTATCAAGTTCTAGTTCTGACCTGAACTCTGGTTTGAAGTGTGAACTTTTAACCTGTAAATTCAGTGATGAATTATTTTAAACTGCAATATGGCCTTCTAGATGACCAAGTCTCACATTTTTTTTGAGAAAATTAGAGAACATGTAGATGTTTGCGTCAGAAAGTATCAATAAGCACTGTAAAGAATGAAGAAAAACATATTCAACCATCAAAGCTGTTTTCAAGAACTTTGTTTTGTTTTTGTTTTGAAAAACTTCACATATATAATGTGAACTGTAGTTTCTCAGTACTATCAAGAGACATAACTAGCAGCAGAAGAGTTTCTATTAAACAGTATAGAGATGGAAACAAATCTGTTTCAACTCTTAGAAATAATTTTGTCTTAAGAAAAAAACAAATTCTGACGTAATCTGAGATAATTTCAAGTAGTGTCTACTGACACCAAATCTGTTAGAGGTACAGCTCCAAATTAAACTTGGAGTGAGATAACAGAAGGGTCTTTTAGTTTCAAGTCTATAATTTTCCTTTCCTATAGTGTAGTTTTTAATTCTAATTCAAATTTCTATTCCTTCCTACATAAAAAATAAGTCAAATTCTTACTGCTTTAGTAATTTTAAAGAGAATTAGTATGTTAGAAGATACTCTGTTTTAGAGAGACCCTTTTGTACAAATGGAATAAGATAAATGTATTGAAAATAAGTTATTTCAATTCCCACACTGCTTAAGACATATTTTTCTCTGATACTGCATTTACTAACTTGTACACATACATATACTAAACCCCCTATCTTATGCAGTAAGCTATAATTCCATAGACTCTACAATGAGAAGGTGTTCACACGTTTGAAGAAAGAATTTCATTCTTTCAAACAAGAAAATAATCTCTATTTTCTCAATCCAATATTAGCATAGATTTAAGAATAGTGTAACCTACTTTGATGCCTACAAATGATTTTGAGAGATCCAATACTAACTATATAGCTTCTGAGTAACAGGATGTAATTCCAACAATTTTGAAAGGTAAAATGCAGAAAAAACACATCAGGAGCATAAAGTAGCAGTAGAGACAACCCTAAAATATCAATGCGATACCCTAGCATTCCAATCTACGAATAATCAAACTAAAATCTTTACCAAATCCACTTTCATGAATGCACATTTACACTTCATTCTTTAATTCTATGTCTGAGAATACTTACTTTTTATAATGTAATCTAGTTTATGTTAAACAATGTAGTACTACTCAATCATTTCAAGGGGATTGTGGGTCGAAGAGAATGAGTTTCCTACATAATCTATTTGCTGCCTTGGCAAACAATGTATGTCTATCCAGCACAGCTAGTCAGCCACAAGGACTTGACCAAGCTTTTTGGTCAAGATTCCTTCTTTTTCAATCACCCTCAAAGACTACAAAGATTCAAAATACAAGGTAGGCAAGGTCTGCCTCATGCCACATTACAATGTGACAGCTTATCTTTAGTCACACTTTTTCCTTCAACATGCAAATACCTCCAGCTTTAAAAGCTACATAATATGGAGACATGAGCTAGTTCAATTCCTACGGCAGGATGCAGTCTCCTAACAGCCATGCCTGCTTCCTCTGAGGAAATGCTGGTAAGCCAATCCAGGAGGCATGACATACCACCAACTGGTCCAAGTTAGTCTTTTTTAAACAAACTCTAAAAGAAACTGGTAAAATGTCTGTGAAGAGTGGAGACAGGTCAAAGTTTCTTCCAAAATGTCACTGTTTTTCTGCATGATGATGAATGGAAGCACTGACTAGCTTTGTCCTTTTGCCTAAGCAATGGATGCCTCTTCAAAAAGAACGCATTCCTCTTTCTCTTGCTGCTAGTGACATGGAAGCTACAACAGGGTTGTTAGCTGAATTTCCTCAAGCACTGCAATCAATTTATCTTTTTTCACATCCTAAAATGTCAAATGACAGTTGGACAAGGACTCTTTTTTCGTAAGTAAAAGAATATACTTAAGTCAACAAATGTTTGAATATTAAGAAAGGAGAAAAGTACTAGATACTGTTATAGGACAGGAGAGAGTGAGTGAATGAAAGCAAAAGCTGAAACCCAGTATCATTAGAAAAATATTAGCAATGTCCTTTACTCAAAGGTAGGGCTTAGAGCACCAACACTTGAGCCACTTAAGTTTATTAATTGAAAGAAATATTCCTGTGCTAGAAGGGTAGATAAAAATGATTCTATAATTTTATAATTTGTAACTCCAATTTTTGAAGATGTGATAAGCTGAACTTGTTTCTAAAATAAAGCTTGAAACAATTTGTGCTCTTCCTCCAAACTTTACCACACCAGTCCCCCAGGCATGGTTTTGGATTGACATGGACAAGTGTATACCTCACACATATCTCTAATTATTAAATCTGTAAAGCCTAGGGTATGAAACCACTTAACTTACTAGCTCAGATTTTCAGGAATCATGCTTCAGCAATAAGTAGCATCTGAAAAAACAGTTAAACCAATATCCTCTGACTGCTTCGCATGACAATTAAGTAATTTCAGCATGATATGGAAGAGACCAGCATGCTTGGTTAAGAATATTCTCTCCCTTCATTTTATTGAAATGCTACTGAGAAAGGTTATGTGCTCCATACGTGTCCTCGTCTTTTGTGTCCCCTCCACCATTTAGGAAATGTGGATAGAAACCCTGCAGGCAAAGCCAGTGGTTTGAAATGCTCTGTAACTAGCATCTGGAAAGGGAAGAGAGGAAAAGAAGAAAAAAGGAAACTGAAGGAACAAAACAAAAAATAAAGTGGTAGAACAATACTAAAGGGACAAGGAACTCCTGACACGAATGGGAGGGGTTGATCATATACTGTGGGACCATATGTAAATAAAACACAAAACTGAGTAACACATTTCCCCCTTCTTTTTTATGATATCCCATCTGTAAAAAATCCTTTGACAAAACAGACAGAACTCTTGTTAGTTTACCTATTTATGATGTGAAAAGAATAACAGAGACACTTTTTTCAAGCATTATCTCTGAGGAAGTGGTTGTCCAAAACAGTAGTATTTCCGCAAAAAAATAACCAGGCATTGTATCGGAATATAAAAGGTTGTGACAAGCCCTTTCCCTGTTCCTTAATGAATTTAGAAACCAAACCAAACCCCAAGCACAGAAACCATTCCTCAGAAAGAACAGCTAGCTACAAACTCTCTAAAGAAAAACAACAATCTGTCACTGGCACAGAGTATGTTTTATAATTAGATCAACATTTTTTTTCCTATTATAAAAATCTAAATTAAGGAAATTATTCTAGATGATATTCAGCATGATCCTAACTTTCCTCAGAACCATGCTTCCAAATAAAATTTCTCCCCAGGAGGACAGATATCTGAGGAAGAACAGAAAATGTAAGTGGCAGACTAAACTATTTAGGCAGACTTTCAATCAAAACCTACATTTAGTATATAACTTCTGGAAGTCTAGGCTGGCACAACTTCTTTCAACTATTAGACTATCATTAGTCCCTTTAATATAGCAGTTATTGACTATAAACATTCATTTCAATTTTTAGGTCTAACTGCAGGAAGCACTTAAGGACAGAGCACATAATTTGAAACTAAAAGTAAGCATGTTTAGGGCACAAAACCAACTGACTTGATATGGAGCCTTGGGATATGTTGCATAATGGATTTAACTTTTAATTACATGTTTGATAACAGGAGGCTATGAAGTGCTTCAGAAATAATGAATGAAAATTGCACACTTAAAAAGAGTTTTTGTTACACTTCTATTATAGCTGCATCAGCATTGAACACTGATTAAAAACCACACAGCGGAATTTGACCCATGTAGAACTTTTTTGTCTAAATATTTTTATTGCATATATGCCCTGCTATTTTAATTAATCTTATATTGCAAATTAATCCATTACTTTCTAATATGTAAATATTAGGATACATAATACAGTAATAACAGAATAATTGCTTAAAATAAAATGTTTAATCTAGAGAGTCTTCTTTACGTTTCAAATACCTCTGACAATTTCCTTGACTATTAAATGAACAAGTATATTAATATAGTCTTATAGGCCTCCCTGACAATATTCTGAATTTGAATGAACTTGTAAATGGAGGAATAACAATTCTTCAAAAGACTAAGGAAGTCAGAATAGGAAATTTTCCCCCATATAATTCTTAAATTTTTATACAAAACCAAAAATGTTAACATTTCTCTCCTTTATGCATAATTTACATTAGTTCCATCAATTCTTAAAATTAGATTATAAACTGTTTGGAAGAAAGTCCTTGTATCAAATCACAGTTAGTGCAACAGCACACCGGTTCTGGCTGACGATTAATGCCCTGCTGGAAGGGCAAACAACCATATCAGTTGAGATCTTATACTAATCTAAGATCCCAAATCAGACACAAACTTGAAAAATTTTTCCAGTTTCATCATTATTTTATTTGGTAGACTATCAGTGGCCAACCTATCTGACAAAAAAGGCTTTCTTTTGAATCAGGGATCCTTATTAAAACACAAACCATGGACGTAGCTTACTGAATACAGTTTATCTACATCTGTTAGATAGGCAAATCCATTGAGTAAGATCTTGTTGGGCAGCCAATAAAAAATGTTGACAGCTTTTCTTTTCATACTATACAGGTCTAAATGCTAAAGGGTAAATCATCTGAAATTTAAAATAAGACAATTAGGCTCATTTTTGATGCAAAGTTGAATAAGAAACTCTGACTTTACTACTCTGAACAAGAGAAGAAAACTAAAAGTGATGGGAAAGAATATACAATTAACAAATTCTCAGTGACAGTGTGCTGATGCCCCTTGCAATCAGCTGTTGGATAGGTTTTGTAACATTCTACTTTCAGGACGTTGCTTTAAGTCCAGCTTAAGTACAGAAGGTCACTGACAGATAGTTCTGATAGTCTTTATAAAAGTGAATTAGAGATTTTAATCTAGTTCTCACATGAAGCACTTCACTGTCATTTCAACAAACTGAGCTGGATAGATCCAGGACTGCATAGACATAGACTGAACTGACTGACAGGGTCCCACAAAAAATAACTGAGGCACTTCTGAAGAACAGTTTATGGGAGACAGGAGAAGACTAATATTCCTGTGACCCATGCTATACCTGTAAAAAAGGAAGAACTTACTGCAATATCTGCTAGCCATCATGAATGCTGAGCTTTTATTTTTCACTGAACAAAACCTGAACAGTTTCTTGTCCTCCCATCAGTAACCACATTAACTGCTATTCACCTCTATGTGCAACCTTTCATACCTGTGCCAATCCTATGAGCAACCAACAGAAGACTACCAAAGCCTTTCTTATGAGTAGTGCCAAGTCGTTCCCATTTTCCAGCTACATCCGTAAAGTCAGAAGTAATGACAAAACCAGGAATTTAGGAGGCAAGAAAATTCAATAACTATGAATTTACTGCAGTCCATTTTTTATGTTAGAAGAATTATCAACATTTTGTACCATATATTTACCTTAATTACAAATGCAGAATTGCATACGATACTGGAAATGCACTTGCATGACTTATCTACACTGCAGAACACATACAAAAGGAAAATGCTGTCAATATTGAAATTAAAGTTGAACAAGTATATTTCTTTAGGAGCATTACCTCACATGCTTCTGAATCATGAAAAACTTAACAAAACAAAACCAGAAAGGTGCACTGAGGGATGATTAGTAGCTGGTAAGCAACTGAGAACAGCAATGCTGAAGCTGCAGAAATGGACTCATGAGGCAGGTAAGGCTGACAAACTTACTCTGAAGCTGTGGCTGAGGCTGCTGGAAGGAAAGGGGCTGTCCGAACACAAATGGACTGTGGACTAGGGAAGAGGGAGGTTTTGCAGCTTGATCAAAGATGGAAGGAGCTGGGAGATTTGGCCGTGACTGAATGGAATTCAGTATGGCACTCAGTTGGTCACCTGTAGTGGGCAAAACAGTCAAAACTACAACCTGTTACTCGTCATTCTCCAGAAAGGCAGAATAAAATGGTGCTCAATTAAAGTTTAAATTATGATAATAGAGAAAGCTCATAAATCTTATTTAGCCACATACAACTCTGGTTGTGGCTAAACATTAAAAAAATCTCACCCCATGCATGGCAATAAAATTACTGAAAAGTACAAGCAGGGTTTTTAAGGATCATGGATATTTTACTGCAATTATTTAAAACATTTCAAAACAGAGATTTATATTCACCTTGCTAAAAAATGAAGAGCAGCCAAAGAAAAAACAGAAATCCCTAGCATAATAATACACACATGCAACAGAACATGCAGAAAAAGATTGGAAAAACTGATGAGAAGGG